ATCTCGATTTAAATTCTGTAAAAACGGATTTTTAATACTTTCTTCCCCTTTTTTTACATACAAAATTACATTCTATTTTTTCTTGAACCGAAACTCGCCCCAGACCTCTCTCAAAAATTAAGGGAAAACCTTTCATTTGATGCGCACTTTCTGCAGCTCTACCGCAAAAAATTTTGAGTACGGTGACCCCCCATTTTTTCCCTTTCATTATATTAAACGCTAAGGACAGTGCTTTTTAATACTTTCCCCCTTTCGATTAAAAATCGAAAAAGTTGGCACAAATCTATGTTCAGTTTTTTGGCAATTTTACTAAATTGTACGGATTGAGCTATCACGGGTCGAATAGCGCGTGTCCAATTTAATTCTACTTTGGCGCGTAAAGTAAAAACAAGGGCATTAAAAGGCATTTTTCTGGTACGTAAGTGGATAAACAATATATTATTTTTGGAGGGGCTTATATTCGGAGGAGCTTATGTACGGAGGGAAATTTGCGTTTCAAAATCGATTAGGCTAACCTTACAGTTGGAAGTAAATATACCGTTTTTGTTTTGTTTTACTTCATACTCGAAGGCAATTTTCCAAGTACAAGCCCCCGGGGGGCGTATATTTGGAGAGGCGATTTAACGGAGGGTTTTTTGCGTTACCGGGGGGCCTTATATTTGGAGGGGCTTATTTTCGAAATTTTACGGCATGCAAACAAAAGGAGTAGAATTTCCAAGAATTTTCTTTATTATGTTGGGTTAATCAATATTATAATCATTTTCATCTGAAAGTTATTGGAGTACAAGTGTCGTGGATATTATTTTGGACATGTTACATATGGTGAGAACTGGCACATGACTACTTTACTTTTGTCTCTCACAGGAACTTGCGTGAAGAAAGTGGACATAGTGGTAGTCTTGGGGAGCTTACCATTTGACAGAAAATTGCGGAAATTCCGGATGGAAGGTAAATGGTAAGGTCACTTTTCGGAAATTCCAACCGAAAATTGAGGAGTACGTTTTGAGGTAGTCCGTTCATTCCGGTTGGTACGAACCAAACGGAATGTTGCTTACCATTAACCAATTTCTCGGTTCCTCCTCGGTTCCAAACTCAAGCTACACAAATTCGCCCTCCTTTTGGATTCAAACAGTAACGGATGTGGCATTTCCACGGTAAACTGGTAAATCGCTTACCATTATGCTTTCGATACCCCAACCGGTTTTTTTGGTCGAATGGTAAGCCGCCCTTGGATGACTCAACAAGTGAAGGGATTTATGTCTTTCAATCAATAAAAGAGTTTCTGATTAGTTTAATAAGGGATATGGACGTAGGCCCGGATAAAACTAGTGTATGCCTAGTAAGAGTACACCTTAATCCGACCGTGGAGTTTAACTCTGTGTTTCGCTAAAAAAACGTCGTTGCGAATCGTCCCGTGTAACATCGCCTTTAGTGGTTCCGCAATCTTCGTTTACAGGGATTGAAGATAGTCTGAAGCTGGCGGCAGATGAGCTTTTTAACCTACAGGCTGGCGCAAGACCCGCAGCGACCAAGTTTCTAATTGTCTTCTCTGACGGCGACTTCATCCCTTTCTCGTTAGTAGGTATCAGTAAGTAATTTGGCTCAGCTTAGTTTAAAACTGAAGGAGGGTAAAAATTATGACCACGCAAACTAGTTTGCTATCGTCGGAATAGGTGCTTTTATGTTCGTCTTAACCCCGCTCAACATTATCATCAGGGTTCTAAGCCAGCACGTGATCATGGCGTGTTCAAATCACCAATGTTAAATGAAGGAAAATGTCAAACTCAAATAGAAAGAAAAAATGATTTGGAGACAAGATCTGTTGTAAGGAGCTTTAATGCCTCCAATATTGATAGCGTTGATGGCGTTAGCTTAGACTCGTGATGAACACTAAGTAGAGGGTCATATGAGCCCTTATGAACTTGTGAAAATCAAAAATCGGAGTCATAAGCGGAGTCATAGGCACGACGGAATCTAAGTCGGAAGAATCAGAACGTTTCCATTTTCTTCTGATTCCGCTTATGAATCCGTCGCTTACGATCAAGTGAAGACAAGATTGTAGGAGTAGGAAGCAGAAGCGGAAGGATAAACCAATCATACGGCCCGTGCATTCCCACGTTTCCGCTTACGACGCCGACATCGCGTAGTTTTTACTTGATCGGACGGAGTCGTAAGCGGAATCAGAACGCTAGTGATAACCAGCCTTAATGAATGTCTTTTTCACCTCAATTGAACCTACAGGACAACTGGATACGCGGCATCAATGTACTGGCTGTAGGAAGCGGACAAACAACCTACGAGGATTCACTGAAAGAACTTGTTAAACAACCAATATAAGACTTTTTCACTATCAAGCAGAATACACCTAAAAATGTAATAGCACGCATAAGGGAATTAAATTGGCTCAACAGACTGACCGAGTCTATTTCGAGGAAAATGTAACGCCATAATTACTGTTATCATTATTATTGTTATCATTATTATTTTATCATCAATTACTGTTCATGATATAACGTGAAGAAGGTTTGGACCAGTATTCATTGGTATACAAATAGACAAACATGCCGCGTCTGTAAAATTGTTCGGAAACGAAGATAAATTTTCGGCAAGATTTGTCAAATTTCTTGTTTGCCTGCCGCTCCTAGGATTTTCAAACATCCACAAAATGCCCCATTTTAACGAGACGCAAATACCTTCATATTTTATCCCTAGTTTTCTCAGTCTGCCGTAAAAAGTTAGAAATATGTCCTCGTCCACACGCATCCCTGATATGTTTGAAAACAGAGATTTTTTCCGTTTTTGAAAAAATACGCGTTAAAACAAAACGCTAAAACGACGGATATTCGAAAGCATCCATGACAGAACATGCGCTGTATGATTTATGACTTCAACGTGAGGAGAAAGGCGAAGCCTATGTTCACACTATAAGGGATAGTTTTTCGTGGCGCCAAGACAGCTATCAGGTATAGTATGAACGGCAACGACCCGTGGCTTCACAAGTCGTTCACACAGATCGAACATCGTGGGTCAGCACTCGTTAACATCCGCCGAAAGGCCCTTTCTTCCCTTATGATTTTTACACAAGGTACAACTCTTTTATGCTTTTATATCACACTTCGATGATATTTCAAGCTGGAAATCATTTATGAAAGTGCAAGTCTCTTCAATTTAAAAGAAAAATTAATTGATATGAGGGGCAAGAGGATTTGAACCCATGACCTAAATTGCCACTTGACCACAGTAATCGTTCACGAACCACTAGACTACTGAGGATTAGTTAGATGGCAGGGAAATAATTATAGTATAAATAGCATCCACACCAACCCAATAAAAGAAGCTAACCAGTTTCGAAACAGTGCTTAACCCTAATCCAAAACGATAAGGAATACTACGTTGTGTAAACTTCATAAGGTGTCCAAGGGCCTTTCGACAGATATTAAAAAGTGCTGACCAACATCGTGCCGGAGCGGTTGGCCGAGAGGGTTTAGTGCACTAATAAATCCCAGTCCTCACTCCTGAGTATTTACTTCCGTCTCAGTGGATTCCAGTCCTCGCTCCTACCTATTTACTTCCGCGACGGGCCGAATAGGTGTTTACTTTGCGCCAAAGTATGGCACAAAACCTACCCGATATGTGAAGCTCCACTTTCGAGATCGGCAGGACGCAGCTTCGCTCCGTTACAGAAATCGCGCCACCACAGCCGTTCTTGTGTGAACAGAAGCCCTGTCCGGTATGATTTTCATGACGGCGCAAAAGCTATCTGATGCTGAGTGAACATAGCCTAAACTGGAGAAAAAACTCTCCGTTTTCAAAAATTCCCGGTCTGTATGTGTGGATGGGGCCTTATAGGTGTCCATACGTAGGGCATTTGTTAGGAATTTGTCACTTTTTCTTTAGAGTGCTGCCAATATCCAACGGGGGGCCAGCAGATTTATACAAAGACACCACTGTGGGTCTTGCAAAAAACAAACAAATTCGCCAGCGCGGGACAAGCAAAATTATGTTTCCTTTTAAGAGCAAAAGCACGAACACGGCGGCTTCTTCAGGTTGCGTCCTTTTCCCGTTCAATTTCTTAAGTATAAGTGAGTAGTTGCCGGGTAGAAGTTCTAAAATTGAGTTATGTTTAATTTTGGTTTCCTTTGGAAACAACAGTTTTGTCCCTCTTTGACTGACTTTCAACCTACTGCTCAAGGAAACAGATGAATACGACTAAAGCTACGTGTAACAACTCCCAACAGTGTTAAGAGTTGTTGCGTCCGTGTTGGCAGTGGTGTGCAAATGGATGCCACAACTCACAACAATGTTGGGACCTGCAGTGCATCGTGAGGATACAACCCACAAAACTTTGTAAACTCCAAGGAGATTATGCGTAATGAGCGTGCGTGGACCCAACAATGTTGGAAGAGCTGTGCAAACAGATCCAACATTGTTGCACTGCGCTTCAGCGATCAAGGAATAAAAGAAATGTTGGAAGTTGTTGGTTCAAAAGTTGTTGCGTGTTGTTAGGAGTTGTTGCGCAAAGTTTGAAACCGGTCCAGCTATGAGCAAAAGGGGCCAACAATGTTGGGAGTTGTTACGTCCATTTACACGTAGCTTGACCAGTTTCAAACTTTGCGCAACAACTTCCAAGAACATGCAGCAACATGCAACAGGCCATGCAAACAGACGCAACATGTAACGTCCAACAATGTTGTGTCCGCTTGCACAGGGCTTAAAATTGTTTTTATTGTGGCCTGCAGTTAAAGCATCTGTTACATGCCGGGCATGCTTTCTAGTAACAAGTCGATGGGAAAGTGTTTCTGATTGGGGTCCATTTTCACGATCTGACTGATTTTACTGAATGGAGTTACATTTTCAATACTTACCAGAATGGAGAAGCTAATTTTTGTGGGGATTTGGCACTGTTGATGGGAACTTTCTGGAGGTGCCAATTTGAGGGACAAATTATTGTTTTTAGAGTGCCTATTTGAAAGTCAACTACTGTTAGACAGACGAGAAATGCAAAGTTTATTTAATAGCTTCTTTCTTTATAAAATGGCTCGGTCTATTCGGAAATAAACGTTTAAGCTCTTGGTTATTAAGCTGTTTATGCCCCGCATTCATATCTAACAAAATCAACAACTTCAACTTGTTCCTTCTCCACCAAATCCTTCACTGTCATTTTTTCATCGAGCAAATAGTCTTGCTCAAGCAATACATCACTACTGTCACCCTTTTCAGCTTCCTTATCTTCCCTGTCGTGTTCGGAAATCACTGCTGGATTCATTCCCACAACATGCTGTGCTAATTTATTTGCCAAACTAAACATGGAATCCAATTTGACTTCATCGTGCTTGGGTTTTATAACAACAATTCCGCCGTACCTCCCCAAAAAGCATCCTCCCGATGACGTCACAAAGGAGCCATGTACATACTTACCAATCACATTGGCTTCTTCAGTTGTCATGGTTACCACTTTATTTATTTTGATGTTTTCTCCTAGTTTGCCAATAGTTCTGGTCACAGAATCTCCCACAGTTTCTCCATTGCTGTTTTGTATTTTCTCATTTCGCAGTTTGTGCTCAGGGATAACCTCTCGCAGGTGCTCAAGTTGACTACCAAATGCATTTATCTTTTGGTTTTGATCAACGATCTTCTTGCGCTTCGAAACTGCTATATTTGCAATATTGGAGACCAAGTCTACAAAAAGTTCATTCCTCGCTACAAAATCAGTCTCACAGTTAACCTAAAAAAAGAACAAGAACAATCCTCTTTATATTGTTTTGTTGACTAAGATCTATTGGAACCCTGTGGCCCTCTAATTTCTTCATAAAATCTCACTGTTTAACCAAAACTGAAGGATCATGATGTTAACACAATGGGTGGGAGAAAAGACGCTCAGTTATTTTCTATTTTGAAAACGCTATTAATAATTATAAAGCTGAGTGGTTGCAATAACCCTTTAACTATTATACCAGATCAAGGGTTGAACAGTGGTGAGAGCAATCGCCTCCCATCAATGTGGCCCGGGTTCAAATCCTGGTGTTGATGCCGTAGGTGGGTTGAGTTTGTTGTTGGTTCCCTCTCTTGCTTTTAGAGCATTTTTGTCCTGGTACACAGGTTTTACTCCCTACTCAAAAACCAGCATTTCCAAATTCAAATTCGACCGGGAATCAGATAGACGAAGTCCCACTTAGTAGATGTGCTACCTCTAAATTGTTATTCATTGATTAATTGATTGATTTTTATCAGCATGTACATTCTCTGCATTCTTCTCCATACATTTTCACTTGCTGATCATTTCTTTCTTTAGCACACTGTTAACAATAGGAAATTTGCACAATGGCATCATTTTACCACTACGACCAGAATCCTTTACGATTTTCCTTTCATATTATAAAAGAAATAAACGGAGATGTCAAGAATCAACCATAAGCAAACACAGAAAAAATCTGAGCCCCAGATGGGATTTTCCTTTCACATTTTAATTTGGTAATCCCAGAGAGGTTTAAATAACAAAAGCACTAATTTGCACAAGAAAGCAAAACCCTGATGGATTCTGGTCTTAGTGGTAAAATGACATCATCATGCAAACGGCCTATTGACTGAGCAGTGTTGCTATGAGGAGAAATAAAATGTTTGTCATTCTTAGCTGGTTTTAAAGGTTTCACTGTTTTTTTTGTCAGAGTTCCAAATCCAAAGGCTTCAGAGTTAAAAGAAAAACTGACCTTATCGTGTAATTTCATGCGTACATTGGAAAAACTTATGAACAATATGAAAATAGTTTGTTGTTCAATTACATCCTTAAATACACAAATTGATTTCATTTATGTGGAACTTGTTGCTTAATGTTTAACAGATTAAACATGTTCCAAAGGTTTTCAAATAAAATTATTTTATCTTCTTTAGCCTTTCAATCCCAGTGTGAACATGTAGTCTGTGGACGAAGTCTTGTGGTGTGAAAAGTCCTTCACATGGTACTATTTGTTTTTCTCAGCATTTTGTAAAGTGAAACGTTCAATTGCTGTTTAATTTTGACCTAATATGCCTCTTCTGGGGATGAACAGGTTAAAATGATCACAAGCCAAAATAAACTGAAACAACTTAGTCACCTCAACCATGGCAGCAAAGTTACCATCCACCAGAACACCAACAAGACCTTCTGAAACTGTCCTTCCTTGCAGTTTAGTTGCCTTTTCCCAGCCCTGTTTCTCTGCCTCTGCCTCCAGCCATCTCAGAGCTTCATTGTAATCATTCTTATTCAACCGCAGACTTTCCATGCATTTAGCAAATCCAAAGCCTGTTTCTTTCCTTAATTTAGAAAGAAGTGACTTGTCGACTTTGCCATTGGACTGCTGATTAGAAGTCAGTAGACGAGTTTGAGAAACAGCTCCTAAAATATAACAAACAATCTTGCCTTATAAAGAGTCCCTATGAGCATCAAGGATAAAGAACAAAACGTCACAAGTTAAGGTAGCTTAAGGCAGTTACATTAGTTACATATTTGAAAATAAATACTGTCGCAATGTAACAGGCGGTGCCCTGTTCCTCACTCTGTGCAAGATTTTGAAGCCTACACTTTCCCTCCCCACCCCTGCCCCTCACCAGGTCATCAATGGGCATAATATTCACACTTGAGTGCTGAGAATTTGACAACAACTCTACAAAAATAAATTGAATTTAAAGGCTCGAAATTCTACCAGATATCCTTAATATAAGGCCTGGTTCAGATGCCGAACTTTTAATGAGCCGAACTAAGTTCGTGAAAAGTTCGGTGTCTGAATCAATTAGGAATGCCTGTTTGAATTTGGAAAAGCTCAGCTGTTCTTTTCGCCTGGCCCGGCTGGGAGTTTCGCCTTTAGGGCGACTTTGGAACAGCTTTGATTCAGACGCTGAACTTTTCATGTACCAAACCTAATGCATAAATTATTGTAACATATTTTGTAAGCAGTTTGACTAAAAGGAACAGTTTTCATCTTTTGAACCTAGTTCAGCTGCAATTAAGATTGGTGTCTGAACCTATTCAGCCAGTCTTAATAGTTTGGGCGGCCTTAATTCCAATTAGCTTCGGCTCATGAAAAGTTCGGCGCCTGAACCGGGCCTTATTTGTCTCCAAATTAAACAAAAACAAGAAAATGCAATCTCTGGGTTTTTACCGACAGGGAAGATCGATGGTAGCAGGTAGAAATTGCTTCACTTTTAGCTTTATGCATCAGTCAACTCCAGCTGTGCCCAGCACCCCCCACCCCCCCTCTCCCTGGGCTACTGCAGGGCATTTGCTTTCCTTGTCAGTCCCGGGGTAGGGCATTAACAAATTTTGTGCTGCTTGGAAGCTGGGCATTTGTCAACCACGGAGCTACCCACGAGCTTTTGACACACATGTGGTTTCCTATCCAAATATAACTACACAGAGGATTTTACTGGAAAAACAAGTAGACTGGCTGATCTGTCAAAGACGGAAGAAATTGTAGAGGGTTGCAGGGCTCAAAGTTAGCGACTAACTGGTCGCATATGCAACTGGATTTTTGGTTCTGCGCCTAAAAATTCATGTGTAATCGCCCCTGTGTACCGTAAAACCCAAAGCACAGTGCGACTGACTGACTTCCGACTATACTTACGAACTTGAACTAGAAAGACAGTGTATGTTTAATTGGTCTTTTCTCCCAATGGATGCTACGAACTCGAATGTTCTTTTTCATTTCGATGTTTTACTCCATCCCAGACTCTTCTGTTTTGTAACAAACACCGATGACACATGCAAATATATGCTACGAACGAAACACATACTTTTTGCACAATGGACGATCATGTCGAACGTTCAGTTTTAACATCAATCAAAACAAAAACAGTACGGATAGACCCATTCGGCTAACTCAATGTTGTACCCAATTCAAATCTCCCGGGGATAAGATTCTTTGTGTATTGCATTTGCATTATAATGTAGCATTCACATTTAAATGATATGGAAATTCCTGAAACAAAACGTTTTATTCCCAAAGGGTTTGAATTGGGTACAACATTGAGTTAGCCGAATAGGTCTATTAAGAGCCTTTTTTCAAGGTAAGAAGAAACTCTTCATTCGTTCTCTTTCTTCATTCGTACACCGGGGGATTTTACAGTTCCAGAGTCCCCACCCCCAGGAATTTGCCACCCAAGGCAAAAAAATGCTAATGCCCTGGGGTCAGCCTTTGGGGGAAGCGGGGGTGGGCGCAGCTATAATTGACTAATGCATTTATACGGCTCGTGGCTCGTGGCTCATGTACGACATTTTAATACTTAGATTTGAAAAAAGCGAAAAACTCAAGAGTCACAAAACAGAGGTGACTAAAACCCTTTTCTTACAACTCTGAAAGTAGTTCAAATGGGGTTCAAATGATTGCTATAATGTAGCTGTATATTAGCTTAGTACTGTATAGTTCAAATCAATGAAATGTTTTTCTGCATAAGTTGTCTTCAATCTCACGATTCAAAGAGTGCAAGAAAATAAATCTACAATAATTACTACATACCTATGTTTGACCTCAGGTTAGAGAGAACAAATCTCGCCGCAAACGATGAAGCACACATCTTCGAACATGCCATCGAGAAAGAGGCCATCTTGAATCAAATCGGTCGAGGAAGAGTGGTGCTAGTTAGGATTCCCACCCTTCCCTCCCCAATTAAAAAAAGAATTAAAAAAAAAAAATTTTTAAAAAAAAAACATTATGCATGGTTAAAATGATCTCTATCACAGACAATATCGGATTCTTCATAAAGATGTAAATGTTTTTCCTTTTTCTTCATTGCCTCATTTTTGAAAAATGGAATCGGCTTTCAAGGGAAAATTGTCACTTTTCCTCTCTCCCCTCCCTTAGGTACATAGTTTGGCAGACCTGTAAACATATGAACATGGCGACAGTCACTTCACCGGTAAAAGTTTCTCGATTTCCTCAATTATTTCTAAAAAATTTTCCGTTACTCAAGGTCTTTTAAATTCTTTCACTCTAGAATCGTCCGCCTCCTCATTTACAAGGAAATCTGGTTTTTCACAGCACTAGCAAGCTCGGAATACCTCGTTCGAAGCGAGGTTTCTTTGTGGTAAGCAAATGAACCGTTGCGTTATGAAACTAAAATAAACTTAATATCGAGGCTGTTTCCGGGTGTAATATGGCATTTGTTGCTAAAATCACTTAAATCAAGTGATAAACGGATGATCTAAACACACTTTTAAGAAGCTATTAAACATGAAAATTATTAGCTGTACAGTTGCGGGCAAGTTGTGCAATTCTCTCAGCTACAGCTGTATGTGTGAGAAAATGAAACTGGTCAAAGTGACATTTGATCAAAGTTCAGTTTTGGCGTAAAGGTAAAGGCTATTATGATCGATACGTTTTCCTTAACTAAATAAAGAAAACTGATAGATGATTCTTTGTCTGCTCAATGTATACATCTGCAGAGAAAACTGTTTATCCATGCGGCACTTTTTTGATGCTGTGATTACCTTATATTTCGTCCATTGACAGCTTCTGGAGACAGTGATATATCGATATGATAGTGAGAGCAGTTATTTTAAAAGACAGAGGTCAACGAAAGAGTTTGAAATACGTCTAGATGAGGTAAGGCCGATAGCAATAAATGAATATTGTGCATGTACATGTAAATAACTCAGAATTATTTTGTTGGCTCTCTACTCTCGATTTAAATGTTCTTAAAACATAGCCAGTCTTATCTTCTTAGGCCCGGTTCAAACGTCGAATTTCACATGTGCCGAACTTAACGTGAGAGTTAAATGCATGTGAAGTGCGACGTTTGAATCAATTAAATTCGACTGTTTAAATTAAATGCGACGTTTGCCGTATCTGCGACTGAAACAGTCGAAGATTCGACTTAGGTTCGACTTTTGATTCAAACGTCGCATTTTACATGTGCCGAACTTAATGAATGAATTTTAGTAAATTATTATTATATTACTGAGAATATTGACAGCGAAGAGAGTTAAATTTGACAGAGTTCAGTGAGATAAATTCGACGTTTGAATCAAATGCCGTATTTAACTATTTTAATCGACTCAAATAGCAATTAAATTTGGCGCATGTGAAATTCGACGTTTGAACTGGGCCTTATTGATGCTGACAGTTTCGCAGTCAGAAGCTTATTTAAGGCTTCTGACACTTTTAATGTTTTTCAAGTTTTGATAAAGATGGCTGACAGTCATCGAAACTGTCAGCATCAATAAGACGTTAAGACTCGCTATGTTTTAAGAACATTTAAATCGACTGTTTAAGTTCACTAGCCTGATTAATTTCTTCAAGGCTCTCTACTCTGATGGAGTTAAAAGAAAAAAGAAAATATGGAGACATGTTTTAAAGTTTCCTGATCACGACTCCTGACTTATTATAAACACTTGGACTTCGTTAGCTAACAATAAATTATTAATGCATTGAGATCATATATGGTTTATTTCATATACATTTGTCGCATTGAGATCATGTTAGCCCCGGTCAGGTAAACTAACGTAAAGGGCAAGACCAACAAAAAACTCACCACAATCCTAGGACATAAACCCAGGTTAGTGCTCTCACTACTATGACTCCTTTGCTCCTTAAGGTATTTGAGATTAATAATAATTATTATTCATTCAAAATATTTCCCCTATTCTGATTAGCTAAAAGCACATGCATAATTCACCATAACCAGTTACTGATGACCAAATTTGGAAGAATTTTGTGTTTAACGAGGAAATGACCTCAAAAATCAGATCTCGGAGGATGTTATCCACCTTGGCCTTCAGCCTCGGTGGGATAACACCCTCCTCGATCTGCTTAATTCTTCATATCCTACTCAGCCTCATTCATTAATTGCTAATTAGCTGGCTGCCATTTATACAGAAATCAAGCAGCCGATTTCATTTGAAGTCTAATCGAGCCCATTAAGTTATTTTGTTGTTGTACTCACTTGCAAATTTAATGTAAGAGATTCATTTTTTTTTTTGTTTTCCTGTACTGCACCAATACCCCCTCCCCTCCTACCCTTCCACAACTGGTAGATGGACATTTGAGCCTGAAATTGACTTTGTAATTCTTGCTGTTTTTCTGTTTATTATAATTGAGGTGTGTGAAATCACAGAAGTTCTGTTCCCAAGTAAACAGTACAAGAATTGCAGCTTCGGTGTGACTCTCAGTGATTCAGATACGGAATATGTTTTTTCAGCTGAGGTACTTATCCGGCCACATATGCAGGTCTTTCCTAAGTGTTGCGCAGATAGTGACATATCAAGCAGAAAAGTTTACCAAAAAATTTTACCAGACCATTCTGGTGAAATTTTAACATTACAATATTAACAGTACTAAATCAGCAAGTATTTATGAATTTACATGTTGTCTCCATTGCCTATGCCTACTGAGTTGCTGATTTTGGCAAATCTTGGATAAGTGGGCATGGCTCTGTTTAAAAGGGGGCCAACATTCCTTTAATACATCAGTTAAGGGATCTCTCTGACTTTGACATACATTGTTATGGTACTAGCAGTAGACCTATAAACAAATTAATTGTCCATAATACTGACAAGGTGGCCCTTTGTTATTGTAAATGAAGTTGCTTAGTGGTATATTTAATTAAGTTTATTAACAAGGAAATTTTACAAAGTGCTTATAATAAAACCAACCATGGATTTATTTTGCTATATTAATTGTCTTTTTCAAATTTAACTTTAAATTTATGCTGTTTGCTTGTTAGTCCAGAGAAGAAATGGAACGATGGGTGCATGGTCTCAGAAGAGCAAAGGAATTTTGGGCGCAGCACTATAGACGGGAGGAAGTCAAGCTAACGTTCAGACAGAACCTAACTCATCTTAATCAAACATTTTTAGTGCAAAGTGAAGCACCAAAATTGGTAAGGCATAATAAACTGACTTTGCTTAATCCTTAATATTTGACTGGGCTGGCCAAAGGCTGGCCCAGTTCATAAAATACCTTTGATTTTCTCTCCGGGGAGGGGGGGTATTCCTGGCGATTCGTGTGGGGGTGTGCCTGTCTGACTCTCGAAATCCTGACCCTATACCCTATTTCAGACCAATACCTATAAGGCAAATGTAAGGGAGTACCCCCGACCCCTCCAGGATTGTTGTGTCAAAAAATGAATGCTACTAATAATTAACTTAGTAATCGCCGGGGGGTGTTCCTGGGAATTCGTGGTGGGGGTGTGTTGTTTGGCTGTCCAAATCCTGACCTTAGACCTTAGATCAGATCAATACCTACAAGGCAAATGTAAGGGGCTACCCCCGTCCAGAATTTGTGTGTCAAAAAATGAATGCTACTAGCTAGTAATTAACTTAGTAATCCCATAGTGGTATTCCTGAGAATTCGTGGTGGGGGTGTGTTGTCTGGCTGTCCAGATCCTGACCTTAGACCTTATTTCAGATCAATACCTATAAGGCAAATGTAACGGATTACCCCCTCCAGGATTTTTGTGTCAAAAAATAAATGCTACTAATAATTAACTTAGTAATCCTGGGGGATATTCCCGGGAATTCGTGGTGGGGGTGTGTTGTCTGGCTGCCCAAATCCTGACCTTAGACATTATTTCAGATGAATACCCATAAGGCAAATGTAAGGGAATACTCCCCCAGGGATTTTTGTTGTCATGATGATGAACACCATCTATTATTAACTTGGTAACGATAAAGCATGTTAAGTGAAGGCCCCCATGGTCCAATCCCCAGTGGATTTAGCTCAGGACTTCATGTGTCATATAGTCTGACTGTTTTAAGACGAAACTCAGGGTTGTCATTAAGAGCAGGGAGCTGGGGATTTTCCCCGGCTACTAAGAGAGTGGCCCCCGGCTACTTTTATTGGAAAATAGAAGAAAAATAGAACCAAAATAAATCCTTGGCCGTTTGATTCCCCGCATACTTGTTGTATTTACCCAGCAACTTGAAATCTTAGTGACAACCCTGGAAACTAATTTTTGTCAGTAATGGAAGATACACAAAATTGCCAGCAGAAACCATGCTTTGTCTCAACTTCAAAATCAAAAGCATTTTAATTTTTGGGAAATGTGGGGCTACATCATAGTAGATGTAGTAATTATGGATCAATTAAGGTTTCCGAGAAACTGCCCACCTACCCCTCCCCTAACCCAACATTTTGCCCTAAGTGAGAAGTCTTAATGTTTACTTAGGGGAGAGGTAGGTGGGCAGTTTCCCAGAAATTATCCTAAATTGATCTGTAATTATGCAGATTTCCATAGGTTCTGTGTCAAACAGCAACAGTGAGCAGCTTTTTTTTTTGCCAAAGCATCATTAATATTTTGGGAACAAAATTATCACACCTGTTTTCTTCTAGGAGCACAACATTTTCAGCACATTAGATGGAGAACAGTACGTATATACCAGCATGTAGTTCATTTTAAATTAAATTTTCATTTTGACAGCATAATGTCAGTGGAAGGACTAGTTTAAGTGCCCAATTAATTCTTGGATGTATGAATTAAGCAAAGGAACGAACTTTCGGCAGGCACTTTGAAATGCAAATGTGTTACTCAGTCACTCACTATTGAGCAGGCACTTTTTAATTGGTGGTACAGTATTATTTTATAGTCTGCCCCAAATAAAAGGACCTCAGCTAGGACCTCAGCTGTGAGATATCAAAACAACAACAATTGATTGTTGTAGTCATCAATCGAATGTCCGTCAGAGGGAACGGATGGTAGTCTAATGAAGAAAGCAATCTACATGTACCCTAAACCAGTTCAACAATTAACAGGAAGTTTTTGAAACAGAGCATATATTTAGTAACATGATGTTTGGAGGGTCACTGTAAAAAAGCAAATACCTTTACTTGAGGATATACAAAGAGTGTGTTGCTGTGTGTTTCTTTCTTTGAAAGGTAGTCAGTGTTGACAAGCATTAAAGTCTTCTTTCAGGTCACTTAATGGTAGCAGGAGTTTTCTAAACTAACTATCCAAGGATGAGTTCCTTGAGTTTATCCTTATTTATTTTCTTTTCATAACTTACAACTTAATGGTGTTCATCCTTTCTTTTATCAGCATTGCCCAGGTAATAGTGACCACGTGGGATGGCATTCTGCACAAGCTCCTTCTTCCAGTTGTCTTTGATGCAGAAGAGCTTCTGTCGGCGCTTAGTGGAAAGGTACATTTACAAAGAAAAGGATTTGCCGCTTGTCCCACATGCAAGCTTCAACAATCCTCCATGGAAATCTGGACAGTAACTGACAGTGGAATTGGTAATTTCTCTCAGAGATGATTTTAAATTTTATATTTGTATAATTAAGGTAGTTTCCCACACAGCTGTTGTATCTTGTCATGCTGGAGGGGAGGAGGAGGGGAAGAGCATTGCATGGCAGGACAAAACCGGCTGTGTGGCAGACTGGAGTTAAGGTGGCTTGCCATGGTTTCCAACATTTTTAGCACTTCTGCCTCTATTGATCAAATTATTGAATAAAAGTGACACTTTTTCAGTTTCAGTTTTTCAGTAACAAGAAATTGCCCAGTGTAATTGTAAAACACGTTTTTTTTACTTTAGTTTAAAGTTTTTGTAGAAGCAGTAGAAAACTTGCCGTAATTTTATGTAACCGACTTTTTTCCCCAAGTTTCCCTCAAATCGGTTCACTTGAAGCTTCTGTTTTCTCTTCTTAGCAGTTAGGCAGTGATTTTTGTCTTAAGATAAGCTTTTCATCCATATGTGTTCACAATATTGGCGCTGTAATTTACTGCTAGAGCTTCTCACATTTCAGGAAAGAAATTGGACCATAAGCGTGATGCATTAGATGTTTCAATACATGGACGACACTTTTATCTCTTGGTGCACAATTACAAGGTACAATGTTTGTCTTTTTGAGAAGTGTTGACATGTTTGCGGCTTGTCAGGACAAGTCCTTCGATTTCTCAAGTAGAACACTAGCAATATGCTACGTCTTCCCATGGATACGAAGATGATTTTAGTATATCAAGAGTTTTAACACCAGTTTTATATTCCATGAGATGACTAGGACAAGTTGCTAATAGTAACTCCACCTGTTTTATTGGTAATGAAGTAGCCTTGTGATACAAGGCTAACTTGTTTGTAAGCAAGCAAGCAAAAACATTAATTTTGTGGAATAATAGTTTGCAGGAAGTAAAGAGGAGAAGTGGGACGTCACGTTACCATGCTAGCACTATTTCTGGATGACAACCAACGACGACGGCGACGGCAAGGAGAACGGCTAAAAATAATACGTTTATATTAACAAACAACAACTTTGCACGTGCATCACGCTATTTTGTACATTTCTTTGCCGTCGTTGCACTACTACGACATGAAACTTCCTAATTTCACGAGCCCGCTTTAAGGAGTAGGTAAACACAACCACAAAAATTGTCGCTTTCTTTTTCTAAACTTAGATAACGATCGATACTGTCCCAAAGAAAATTTTGCCAAGATTTGCCAAATTAAATGAAGTTGAATAAGATCGGTGAAGTTTGAAATAGTGCGAATAGACTTTAAAGTGACTTTATCGGTTTGTTGTCATCCAAAAATTTTGCTACCCTGGCAACGTGACGTAACGACTTCTCCTCTCTATTCCAGCCAGATTTAGCGCCAACCATCCCCCATTTCTGCAAACCCCCACTCCTGACCAGCAACTGAGCCACAGTACTCGTCAAAAGTCTTGACTGACACTTGTGTGTCGTTTTCCCCTTCCCCAAATTTTATTTGGATATTACAGTCGTCTCGGTGCTCCAAAGTACGCGTGGCTCAAAATTGCGGAAGGAGAGGGGCACATTTTAGTGAGAACAAAGGTGCAAAGAGTGAATGTAGGAAATTTTGGAGAAAATTCAAACGGTGTCTGTTTCGAGTATTGAAGGTAACCAGGGTGTGGTTCCGACCAAACGGAAGTATCTATTTGTGAAGATTACTCGAGAGAGATTTAATAAATGTTTTGCACATTACAAGCAGAAAACATCTGAGTGTCCGGTGAGAAAGAAACGGTTTGGGACTCACTCACTGATTTTATTTCCGTTCTATGCAGCTGCTGATAGTACACTTTGAAGATGGCACATTTCAAGTTCTTCCTTGTTTGGTTTCCTTAAGAGCAAAGGAGGTACACATGTATAATGTCACTCTTTTCCAACTGCGAATTCTTGTAATTTCTATAGTGATCAAGTTTCCTTCATTTGCTTACCTTACTATTCTAAATATTACGCCTTTTGTTTCACATACCGTAAAATTCCGAAAATAAGCCCCTCCAAATATAAGCCCCCCGGGGGCTTGTACTTGGATAATTGCCCTCAAATACAAAGTAAAGCAAAGCCAAAACGGTAAATTTACTTCCAACTATAAGGCTAGCACAATCGATTTTGAAACGCAAATTTCCCTCAGTAGATAAGCCCCTCAAAAAGGACCTTTGAAAAATATAAGCCCCCGGGATTATTTTCGGAATTTTACGGTGATAGGCCATTTCCGAGTTGCCCAAGACCTTTTTTTAGTTCAAAGCGAGGCTAACTGCGAAGTCATTGATATGAAAAGGATTTTTATTCTCATGCTGAAGGAACTCATTACCATAAGAAAGCTTTTGCACTTAGCCTCGTTTTGAAAATGAGGGTTTTGCGAGAGGAATAATTGTTTTAGTAAAATCCAACTATCAAAAATATCGAGGCAAAACAACTTTAGCTAGCTAAAGATACACTTAAATCATTTTCTGCCCGCCAAATTGCCGGTGCTTTTCGCTACTAGTGGGCTATAACATATAGCCTAGTAGTAGCTCAACCAATCAGAGCGCAGCATTGATGACAGACCACTAGTTGGATTTTACTAATACAGTCAACTCTCTCTAAGACGGACACCTTTAGGACCGGCGCTAAGTGTTCGTCTTAGAGAGGTGTCCGTCTTATAGAGAGCCAAATAAAGGGAATAAAGAAAGGCAGGGACCAACTCTAGGTGTCCGTTTTACAGAGGTGTCCGTTAAAAGAGAGTCGACTGTATACCATAGTTTCTCTCTTTTCTATTTGTAAAATTCTCATTTATTTACCAGTAAATGTGACAATGTATTTCCTTCTTCTCGCTTGTACTGTAGGTTCCCTATCTTCCAGTCTTTGCTGACAAGCTGTCATCTCTTGGTTTAAGTAATTTTGGTCTGTTTCTTATTAGCGATTCAGGGACAGGTAAGTAAGTAATGAACACATTCACCAATAAGCGGGAAAGGTAGCTAAGGTAGCTAAACACTGGCAGACTAGATCGCATACCGCATTTTACTCGAGTAAGCGCCGCCCTCGAATAGGCCACGCATTTGGGAGAAAAAAGCTAATAAAGGCCATCCCTGAATAAGTGTGTGTAAAGCGCGAGTCTCCTTTCTACCCTTACCCCCGCGCTTTTTTGCACGCTACTTGTCGCGTATCTCCTATCTATCTCGTGTCGCTGTACGCGTAGGTTTTTATATCGTAATAACTATTAATCTTTTTTGACTGGTACTTTTTCCTTTCTAGCTTTCCCCTTCGACCCAGAGGAACAACCTTTGAAACACTCATTTCAAGGTGATCACATATGTACCATGGGTCATAATCCTGTCACAATGAGTTGCAATACTTTATTTAATAGATTAAATTTAAAAAAGGTAAAGAGAAGTCTGCGTTCGAGCCAAGTGGCCCTTCAGGGCGGACCCTATCCGGCTTTCAAACAGGAATATTAATTTAGGCTGATTTATCAACAGAACGGGAACGTCAGTTGACGACGGGAAAGCGCACGGAAAGGACTAAAAGCGACTTTCGGTGCCCAATTTGCCGCTCTGCCATTGGTCAAGCCAGTTGTTTGATGTGCGCGCGCCATCGTCAGCTGACGTTCCTATTCTGTTGCTGAATCAGCCTAATAGCGAGTTGAAGCAAAGAAGTTTTTGAGCAACGCATGTCAACGGGAAGTGGACTTTTTGCGATATTCGCCGGTTGTTTCGCCTAAATTTTTGGACAAGTCGTCTCTATAAGGGCAATGACACTATGCATTACGAATTTGGAAGGATCAAGATAAATTAAAAGAAAAACGCCTCACAGTTGACGTGTGTCACTCAAAAACGCCTTTGCTTAAACTCCTTGTTGCTACTATCCCATGCCCGGAAGCTAGTCCATGCGGGGTTCTTGCAAGCACTAAATTCGCTCGGCTGGTGCCTATTGATGCCCGTAGGTGGAGTGAGGCACTCTGAGCGCAAAGTATCCTACCCCAGGAACACAACACAATGACCCTGGCCAGGGTTCGAGCCTGAATCTCTTGGCGGAGTCCATTACGTTAACAACAAGGCTACCTCGATTCTCTCTCAATATAATAATGCAATTTCAACACTCGAGTACATCATTTTGTAACCAATAAAACATAGCGCTTATTAAATTCAGGTTGAAAGGGGCCATGTCACGCTGTTTATCATCATTTTAAAAAGCTGTCTTAGTGTCAAGAAGCTGGAGTTGCTCTCGGCGTACTCTTACGCTTCTCTCGTGCTCTCCAAACTTCCCGCGTGCAGCCATAACTCGATATACGCACGCTAACAGTTGATAATGAAGTGTCTGCTCTAGCGAGGTTGACTTTCTACGAAAATCTGTTCATTGGGCAAGAAATAAGTGTCCGTTGTCAGCATTAATCGGGTTGAATGTATTAAGCGGGTGTTCGTAATACGGGGTTCGACTGTGGTTTTGTTCACTTTCATTTTATATTTCCCTTCTCGAACTGTTTAGGGAGATTCCTTCTGAAAGAAAGAGTGTTAACTGCTTCCTCGCCTGTGTCTCCCAGTGGTTTGGATATACAAATACAGCAGGTACGTGGCTTAGCTCCTCTCATGAGTTCAATCAATCATTTCTTTAAAAACGAGACATAGTGATTCTAAAAAGAAGGCTCGTTACAAGAATGCTCGTGTTTCTATAGCAATAACTTAAATCTAACTAAAAATGAAGAACATTAACTATCTATGCTATTTAACAACTCGGAAAACTAACTCAATAGAGCAGATATTGCAGCGACATTCGTCTTGGTCCAGGTTCAGTTTTTTGAGCTTGCTAACGAAATTCTTAGGATCGGAGGCCTCCCTAAAATGTCACCATTCAAGCCATGCTCCTTAACAATTACGAACAGTTTATTGTAAAGTGGTTTTTAAGAAAGTGTTTAAAAAGTATAGAGTACTTTTGTGACTATTCTTGCTTTCGTGAATGGCATCACCGCACTTTGCGATTGGTTCAAAATTCGCGCGCCATTTTTTCAACTAATTGGAAGTAACACCATATTAAACACTTTCAGCTTGCTTACATGCTTTTCGTGGGATATTCTTCGAAAACGTGTATTAAGAGGGGTTCATTTGATTACTAACTCGGAATGTGATTGGCGGACCTAACAAATTTTTAATCGCTATCACTTTGCAACCCGGGTAGAAAGATGAACCGTGGGTATCGATCGTGTTTTCAATGTAAAACAAAAGGCGGTCCCGAAGGATAGAAGGGTTTGCTGGGATTGCCTGCGTCGCAGACACTCTGAACCTTCTGTATAGAGCGTCTGCGAATTTGTGCACATTATCCTGTTCGAATCCTGCAGAGTCGCAAGGACATATGTAGGCGTTTTGATTGGCTTTTTCTTACGCTGTTTGTGATGAGTCCGATGTGAATTAAGTGTTGACAGGCCAAACGCGACTAATAGCTCGTAACAAGAGACGGATTGAGCTTGTAATAGTGTGAAACGTGACCTTAGAGTCAGCTTGAACGATAGAGGTTTTTCTTGCTCTCTGTTTGCGTAGTTTATGCAGTGCATGGAGTATTTGCCGCTTTGAGTCCCACATTTAGAGGTTATGAAGCTGGTCTGTTCCATGCATATTGAGTAATTAGTTACTGTGGTTTATGTTTCGGCAAATGTTTTCTGACAGGATTTGATCGTGGATGCAGTTTCTGTGGCTAAATAACCTTCTCTTTGGTTTTATCCTAAATGCCTGGACTTGAATAGCTACATGTGTGTAGTTTTTTTTTGGCCGTGAATATCATGATTTGCTACTTTGTTTTGACGCTAGAACTGCTCTTTCATTGTTTACTGTAAACGATCCTTGCCAACTCCCTTCTATGAATTTTGACACGTCACTGTGCTCAGGCGTCACGCAGATGTAAGAATTAGGCCAATCGTGAGGCGCATAAGAAACCCGTAAGAAACCCGCCTATCAGAAACGCTCACATATGTTATAGTCTTCGCGACTATGCAGGATATAAGAACGAGCTTTTGTTCACTAATTCGCAGACGGACTATATTGATGGTTTAGACGAGTGCGTGGGCCGGCTGCAACACAGGCCAATGAACTGAGATCCAGCGTTGAGCTAATTATATATGTAGGGCTACCAATTCCAGATTTCGTTTGTGTTGCATCATGTTGTTAGCCGCTACTGCTATCCATTCTGAAAAGTTGGGAATCTAGTATTTTTTGTATGATAACTTGATTTTAATTGTAAATAGCTCTTTGGCATACATGTACCTGTGAGTTAGCTGGTGAAGTTTTCTTTTTTAACTAACCCATGTAGCTAAGAGTATGCGCCACTTGAAATAAAGCATCTTATCTTATCTTATGCATCAAGGCGTGCAATTTAAACAGTTTGAGGAATGGCTTCAAGGCTTCGCCTTGAAAGGTTTGGTTTCAGTTAAAAGGCCTTACATAGTCAATTGCTACTAAACTTCCCTGAGACAACTCCCAGAATGGCGGAATACTGTTGGAATTTGAGACCGTTGCTTATTATAGAAACTACTCATTTTATTGAAAGAATCCTTTTTTTACCTTGTTCTTTTTCAGCGGAAAAAAGTACTGCAGAACGTGAAGAATATGAAAGCGTTGAAAAAACTGGAGCGACAACAGTGTAAGCAAAATAGTGCATTCCCTTTGAAAAAAACAAAGGAAACAGCGCTCAACCTATCTGGAGATCTGATGTTCCACTTTGACCATTACGACGTGACTGATGATCAAAACGAACCTCAAGTAAACAGAACTAAACACACAACTCAAAATGGAGATTCGCACATATGTAGCTCGGTGGATTTTAATTCAGTTGGACAAGTGAACAGAGAGACCACTGACATTGGCAATTCATCTGATATGTCTCAAAAACTAAGCGCTTCTCGTTTGCCACAAATGTTGAGTGACCCAGTGCTCATAGAATCTTTGGAGCTACCAAAGAGCCCTCCTAAAATGGAGTTTCCACACGGGAAGATGAACGAAAGCATGAAAAAGGAACACAGTTACCAATCTGTACGTGAAAGTTTGTGTAAAGATGATTGTACATTGCCAATGAGAATCGGAGGTGAGCCGTCCTTAACCGATGGTGGGTGTGTGGAATCTATTGTTACTGTAGAAGGCTTAACTATAAAAGGCAAAGAAACAAACGTTCAAACTCTTGATGTGGCAAACGGTGAATGTGTGAACCACCAAAACAGCGAACCTACAAACGAAGAAAATGTTTCGTTCGAAAGGCACACCTCTGTCATTAAGGAAGATACTATTGCGGTAACAAATGATACCAGTGGAGGTGAGTCGATCAGAAATCATTGCTTTGAGCGAATTGGTGGAGGTACTACGCCACAGTATACAATCAAAGGGGAAACACTTACCGAATGCCATCTTCCGGATGACAAAACTGTGGCAGCAAACACTAGCAGCGACGATGGCGCGTCTGTCGAAAGCTACTTCTCTGCGGAAGGAGACGAGATATCTTCGCAAAATGTGGGCAATAATAGCCTGGCAGGTGCAGCATGTAATGATAGCAACCCAGCTTTAGCTCACAAGACCTTATCGCACAAAGCGATTAATGCAAACCTAGGAAGACCAACAGGCAGCATTGACGTCCAGAACGTTTGTAAGGAGCGACCGCACCTTGTGATCCACCAGTGTGACTACACCATTGTTGGTTCTCCTCGCGTTCTGGAGCTCGTGTTGAAAGTTTGTTCGGGTAGGAAAATGGACGAAGAGGAAGTAGGCGAAGCAAATACGTTTACAAAAATTTGCCTTTCCGGTTGGCATTTGCAATGCGAGAATGGGACTTGGTCTATGGTAGAACGGGGCCGAGTCCCCTCGTTCATCAATGAGAGTGCTTCTTCTACTGTCAAAGTTCAATTAACCCAAAATCTTAAAGCATTGTTTCATAAAGAGGAGAAATTATGGACAGTAGTAGAGAATGACCATGTTGTCTATGGTACTTTGGCTTTAACAGGTCCAGTGGAGGACCAAACTCTCAATAGCGCAATAACGAAAGAAACACGGCCCGAAAACCTACGAAGCGGATCCAACTCTATCCTGGATGTATTTTTATTGAAAGGTGAACCCCAAGGTGATGCTACTTTTCACAGCGAATCCGAAAACGTAAATCAAAAGCAATCTTTGCCTGTTACATCGAATATCCCGGATGAATCCTCAAGAGAACAAAAAGGTGGGCACTCTGAAACCAACTACGATGCCACTCACGTTTTCGAAAGCAGAGAAGGAAAAAACAAGCCTGAAACACATCCCAGATTAGGTTTGTCTAAATCGAACTCAAAACACTCCCCGGAAGATGCCTTGCGTGCCGCCATCCAAGGGATTTTCGATCAAATGTCCAAGTTCGGTGGAACGCCGGAGGAAGCACTTGATGATAGCAAACATAAAGACATTGTTGAAGGTGCTTGTGAACCACTGTGCAAGGCTCTCTGGAATATACTATCAGTAGGGTTACGGAGAAAGAACTTTCTTCGGAAATACACACTGTGGAATGTGGTGGAAAATTTCAAAGATATTTCCAGTCACGTGACTAAGATTGTATCCTGGGTTAACAAAAGGTACGTATTTCTTAGTGAACCTCAAAAGTTCCAAGCGTTTGTTTGCGAATGCCTCAACATTGGTCATGGGACACTACATCGGTGGCTGGATAGTTTTCTAAGACAAAAGGAAAGACTTGGTAACTATTATGGTGAAACCGCTCTAGTGTTTCAGCTGCCCCCCGCAACTCTGGACGAACTTGTGGTTGATTTATCAAGAGTTAGTTCTTTACCATTCCAACTTCATTCTGAAAGTTGGATAAAGAGGCACCATCACGACCAAGATAGCCTAGCTTTTGCGTTTGAATAAAAACGAACTGCAAAAAGTTAGACCATCAAGACTGGGGGAAATCTACACGAATATGGACCTCAGGGGAATTTTTTCTCTAAAGCTTGTTTAGTTCTGCACTCATAGTCTTTGGAGCTCACTGGGAAATGACATGCCCATGCCACTTTCAACCCCGAAGGACCACGATGCTGTGTTCTGTACTTCTTATTTATTCTCTCTAAATAACTTTATACCTTGATAAAAATGGTTCGTTGCGTTGAAGTAGTTAAAAATAAATGCCATTACTGCCCTGTCTTTTTTATATAGTCATCTTTGTTTTTTTAACAGAGTTAAACAGAATCAAGCAAGCCATGAGAATGCGTGAGAATATTCGTTCAAAGCCAGAGGTTTGCCATCCACTAAGTGTATGGTGGACTGTGCGGTTTATAGATGACCTCTTTACACAAACAAGGCTTCCTTAACAGTTGCTATGTCAAACTTTCCCTGGTCGAGTAATTGGGCTAATCATTGCATTGTGGAGCTGTTTGGGTGAATAATTGTGACCCAGTTTCCCGCTCATCCTCCTGATAGTCAATAGGAAGCTTAAGCACGGCGACGGCTACTAAAACGTCACTTAAAAAGTGAATCGCGCTGCCTCAAACTCCATCTCCTCTAGTGCGTCAATTGTTAGCAAATGGAGTTGAATTCTAAAATATTGTTATTATTGGAAAAGAAAAAAAAAGGCGTTTTCTTGTGTTCACGTCCGTCCTCCCAACACCTGAAATTAGGCATTTTCACGTCGTAGTCGTGGAGTGACAGCAAAGAAATGCACACGTTCAGAGTTGTTGTTTTGCTAATCTAAACCTATTGCTTTTTGCCGTTCTCGTTGACGTCGCCGTCGTCGTTGCTTAAGCTCCCAAATGAAACGACAGATGACAAGAGATTACCTCTCAAAACAGTCCCATGGTGCAGTTCGATTTAACACCGACCTAGTCCCACGCGACACCTCCAAGTCGGCGGCCAAGAGAGAACCCACTACAAATACAAGTATATAGACCTCTAAATATACGAGATGCAAATTTTCCTTCGGTTTCTATGGAGTCTCACTCTCTTCTCTTCGCCTTTCGCCTTTTCTTCGTTTCCCATATTCTTAGCCCATGAATCATTCTAATTTGGAATTTCTTCAAGGCCTGTTATTATCGCAAAATAGTTTCCTGTCTGATCTTTGAGCGTTTTTGTAGTGGCTATGTTTATAAAGTTATCCATTAGTGCTGACAATCGATCGATATTTTCATCTTTTAATTTCAGTTGTTCATCCGGGGACCCATTTTTCTTGTAGCCTTGCCACCAAGCTTCACCAGCGTTTTTGTCATCTCCTTGCCAACCGTCAATCACTTGTCTTACGTCACATTCAAGATCGATTCTGAAACAAAGGCTTACCGGACAGCTATTTAAGAGATGACTGAGGGATGATCGGCGAGATGAAAAAGTCTCCCCGCATGAGCAAATTGCTTTCTTTATGTTGTCATCTTGCTTTGAAAAGCAGCCGCTGATTTTATTTGTGACTCCGTCGTCGTGTTCAGCCGCTACAATAGTTGTTTGTTTTCCAGGCAAAAAGTCAAAATTTTCTCTCTTATCCCTTCGTTTGTAGGCCTTTCCGCTCTTCCCGGGTTGAAAAGATCTTTGAGTTTTGTAGTCAACTTTGTTTTCAGTGGTAATGGCTTCCGGTGTATCGCACTCCCCTTGATCGATTATTACTTCTGTTTTGTTTTCATCTTCTCGAGTATTCACAACACATCTCACATCAATATCTTCCCTTTGAAGGTTTTTCTTGAGAACATTATCATCCATCTCTTTATCTGCGGCTGTATCCATGCCACAATCAGTTCTAAACGATGCCGTATCTTGCGGTGAATTTTCTTCATTTACAATCTGTGGTGAATGTTGAGAAACATTTTCCTTCTTGCCGCTTGAACGAATCCTTGCCCATTCGATTGTGAGCGAATACGCTTCCATCGTTGAATTTAGGTGCCAGCTATATAGCTGGCTTTCGGTACTAATTGATTTTATAAGGCTTGTCAGAACAGGTGGAAACATACTCTTTTCCATTGCGTAAGAACTTGAAAAATACAGTATTTTCCTGAAATATTGCTTTCAACGTTAAAATAACCGTAATTGTGATGAAATAAAGAAAAACTGAATGGTAACAACATCTATCGCTCAAAAAATTGTTCGGAGATTTTGCTTTCCAATGAGCGCAAACCTGTATATCGAAATTTGATTTAACATCATTAATAATGCAGGCTATTTTGTGTGTGTTTTCACGGTGATTGGAAACGACTAGCCCGAGTCCGGCAGGTGAAAAGAGACTTGGAAAACGTACATCAAAAGCCAACACAATACGCACTTATTTTGAAAACAAATGAATAAAAGGGTTACATTTGTTTTGCAGAGAACTGTTGCGCAAGGAAGTTGTGAGAGTAAAATACAGTCGTCTCTCGATAACTCGAACCTTCAAGGGAAATCAAAAAAAGGTTCGAGTTATCGGGAGTTCGAAGAAAATAGCCGAGAGTAAAGTAAAAAACAGTTTTTACCGCACAATGAACATTTTAATCACATTTAATTGAAGAAATGTCAAGTGAAAATCAAAACTTACTTCTAGATTATAAATCAGAACGTAACGTAACAAAACATAGCCTAAATAGAGTGTGCGTTTTACTGTTTTGGGAAGAAAAGCTGCTTCATGTTAGCCTGTGACAATCAACATCAGCCTCCACTAGTAAACTATTAATACTCCTCATACAACACGTCAATAAGAAATCCAAGATTCAATGTTTCGCACGCCCGTAGACGGCTTTTTTTCCGACTTTTTAAGGGCTCAAAACATGGTTCGAGTTATCGAGGGTAAAATTATACAGAAAATGACCTGAGGGGAAACGAAAATTGGTTCGAGTTAGCGGGAGTTCGAGTTATCGAGGGTTCGAGTTACAAAGGGTAAAATTACAGTGATTGTATGACAGAAATCCAGGCGAAATCGATTTTAGTTCGAGTTAGCGCGAGGGTCGAGTTATCGGGATTCGACTGTATGAAAACTGTTTTATGACTAGAAGCAAGAATGAAATTGGTCCAAGTAAACTTTCGCAAAGACTTCTGGCACGGTTACTAGGGACAGGGGAAACAATTGACCACTAACAGACCGGCGGGTTCCTGGTAATGATCCCAGATGTCTTTGCGAAAGTCAATGCGGGAGAGGAGTGGTACGTAGGCTTAAAGCCCGTTCGAATTTGGATTTAGCTGTTGTAAGAATGCTGCGTTCAGCAGATTTCGTCTAACAAGAAGAAGAACGTACTGATACTATCGCCGAAAAGCTGATTGCAGTTTGTTTTCCACTTTTCAAGAAACAACCTGACATTTTTGTCCCTCGTTTCAGGCTTTTCAGACAGCATGCATGCCGATTCCTTGTTCATCAGTTTAGTTCAATTTAACCTCCTCTGTATTGTTACTGGATTTATTACAGGCTGGAGGTTGTAAAGGTTGTTAGGTAGGATCCTTTTTTGTTTGGGAGACAAGGAGAAAAGGACGCCTGATACATTTACTCAACGCGTCGTCTGTCCGTGGTCCAGAATCTAGACTTTTGTCTGATTAGTCGAAGAACAAAAGAACCTTTGGAGCCCCGCACCGATTGGTTACAAGCAACACTGATCTGACTTCCGGTGTAATAAGATAGGATTTTTGTCACCTTCATCTTTTCGTGACAGAAACCACTCTGTTCAACTTCTGCTGGTTTTAGACACAATTTTATTGCATTTTCCAGTCTTTGTACATCTCTACGTTTTTGATAACTCACTCTCACGCCACAAAAACCCAAGGGTTCCTGTTGAAATCGCTGACAGTTTCCAGCGCAAAAAGCGCTAAACAAATAGCACCAAACATCATTCTGTCGCGTCATTTAATTACAATAATTTTAGCACCTTTGACCTAGAATCATTACTCCGACTCTATTATTCCTATTGTGGACGGGAATGAAAACTAGATGCTTAGTCTAGCATCAAGAAACCGCAAACCCTGGCCCCTCTAGCCTGAGAAAACAGCCGACATTTGGCTACGCTACCACTGGTTTCCCCGCCAAATGACGCATGAGAAACGAGCGCAGAAATTCCATACGGATGACGCGTCACTACCCAGATCTGGGTAGTGCTTCTGATTGGTTGAATCAAATTTCCTACGCGGCACGACCAATCAGAAGCACCTACCCAGATCTGGGTAGTGCTAACAAATCTGGGGGCGTGTAAACCAACCTTTTATACTTTTTATACATCACATCTGAGGTAAAACAGTACTACGAGGAGCTGTTTTTATCATACAGACCTCGGACAGAATGCAGTATTTCACAATTTTTAATAAAAATTGCACTTATTCAATATTCTGGCCAGGACGATCGAAGCACGAGTGGGCTGTTAGCGAAACCGCAAAAAATTTTTCAAAATCAGCTATACGGCCAGCCGGTTTTGACCTGTGGAGTGTTTAATAAAGAATTTATCATGTTCCTTTTTTATTTGGTGGTTTTATAACGATGTGTAATCTTCAAAAGCGTTTGATACGCGCGGCATTTTGAGTACTCCTGCAAGGGATGTTAATGAACGAGAGAAAAAAACGGCACAGTGATTAAAATTGCAAGAGAGACTACTGACAATCAATAAAAGAAATATAATTGGGTGAAACATATACAGAGACAGCAATTTTCATTATAGAAGACAAGTATTTAAGTGTCTCTAAAAATCCTGAGTCTTCAAACTTAAAGCTTAAGTTTATGTTTTAAGCCGGCTTCCAGGTGTTTGCTTTTTTCAAAGATGAACTCAAGGCAAGTAAATCGCTCAAAGCTTTCTTTCACAGCAAGAATTAAAACAAAATATTCTTTGGAAGGTTTTCTTTCTATTTGCGGTGAGAAAATTTTTTTTAAAGTTCTGTACTAAGCTTATATAATCCCTGATACTCGGTCCGATCATTGTCTCAAATCTTACAAACGTACAAAAAACTTTAGGATTAGGCTTGCATTGCATGCTGGGTTTGAGGTCTGCTATCTTGAATAAACCTCGTGCTAGCTTGTGTTTACTCGAAGTCTCCTTTCTTCTTCGCCTGATACTACATGGTGGCAGCGGCCTTCACCCATCCAACACCATAAAACAGAATGGGAGACCAACCCGAAGATGCTCCTGCAGTTGAAAATCCGCCTCTACCCGTTAATCCACCTATACAGCCTATACAGCCCGTAAACTCTCCCCTGCTCCCGAGCAAGTTCGAAGGAGCGGACAACCCGAATCAAGCAGACATGTGGCCCAAATGGCTTCGACATTTTGAGCGCTATAGGATCGCTTCTGGTCTTCAAAACAAATCAAACCAGGAACAAGTGGGAACATTTCTCTATGCAATGCGGGATTGTGCGGATGACATCGTCAAAACGCTAAGCATAAACGAAACAACGGCTTCCTTTGACGAGGTCAAAACAGCCCTCAATGGTTATTTTGCAGCCCGCCGCACCACAATGTTATCGTTGAACGAGCACGGTTCAATCGACGAAGACAAAACCCCGGTGAATTCGTGGACACCTTTATTCAAGACTTACACCGCTTCGCCGAAAATTGTGAGTACGGAACTCTTAAGGATGAACTTCTAAGAGACAGAATTATTGTTGGAGTCCTCGATAATACACTGTCCGACCGCCCACAAGCTAAATCTGACCTCACTCTCGCAGAAGCTGCTCGCATTAGCAGACAAGCCGAAGCAAGAAAACAAAATCGAACCGTAGTCTGTGGGGTAGAGACTCAAAACGAAGTTTATTACGTTAGTCAGCCACGCTCTCACAACAAGCAACAAGCAACAAACAACCAACCTGTACGTCCAGCAAAAAAAAGAGTTCTCCAAGAATGACCGTCCCTGTTTTTGGTGTGGACACCAGAACCATGACAGGAAGTATAGCCCAGCTAGAGTCACTATTTGTGGTAACTGCAACAAAAAGGGACATTTCCAGTCTGTCTGTCTCAGCAAGAAACCGTATCCGAGAAAGGTACATACAGTAGAAGAAGAGGAGGAAGACATACACTTCCTCGGTTAGATCGGCAGTAATGAGAACTATTGGAATACACGGATAGGAGTGATTGGTCGTACAACACGCTTAAAACTTGACACGGGGGGGACAGTGACTGTTCTTAGCGATGATGTCCAGTGGCTAAAAGATGTTGAACTAACCAAGACATCCCAGGTTCTACGCGGTCTTGGAAACACTCAACTGCCTGTGAAAGGTCTGTTCTATGTGACACTAAAGTACAGACAATCAAAGTTAACTGAGCCTATATATGTGGTGCATAATCAGAAGTGTTCGTTACTCAGCAGGAGAGCCTGTGTTGAACTAGGGCTCATTGCTGACAAAGATGTTGATGAGATGAACACGGGGCCAACAGATTTCAAAGCCGAATTTCCAGCGCTCTTCAGCGGACTGGGAAAGCTGAAGACTGAAAGCCACATTCGCCCTGATGCTATTCCTTTTTGTCTCTACAATCCAAGAAAGATCCCCCATCCACTGATTGCAAAGGTAAAAAGTCAGATAGAAACAATGCTTCAGCAAGGAGTGATCTCGCCTGTAACAGCGCCGACTAAATGGTGTGCAGGTATCGTCCCTGTCCTTAAACCAAATGGCAGTGTGCGTATCTGTGTTGACCTGACTCACCTTAACAAAGCAGTCCAGCGTGACAGTAAGATCTTCTCCAAACTCAACGCCAATAGTGGGTTTTGGCCGATTCCCTTGGATGACGAATCAAAATTGCTCACCACCTTTGTCACACTATTTGGACGTTTTTGTTTTAACAGACTACCATTTGGTATCAGCTCTGCGCCAGAGATCTTCCAACGCACTATGTCCAAGGTACTTGAGGGCTCGGAAGGGACACTCTGTCAGGTGGATGATGTCCTCATTCACGGGGTAGACCAGTCAGAACATGATGGACGCGTACGAGCTGTTCTTCACCGCCTGCAAGAAGCTGGGATGACCCTTAATGACAAATGTGAGTTTTCACGATCTTCAATTCGATTCATCGCTCACATCATTGATAGCTCTGGAACCCATGCAGACCCACAGAAGACAACTGCTGTGACCCAATTCCCAGTCCCTTCAGATGTCGCCGGGATACAACGATTCATGGGGATGGTAAACCATCTTGGGAAATGTATTCCCCACCTGGCTGACCTCAGTGACCCCCTTCGTCAACTATTACGCAAAGACAGTGTTTGGGCTGGGGGTGAACCCCAGCAAAAAGCCTTAGAGCAGATCAGGCAAGCGTTAGTGTCACTGACAGTCCTGGCGTATTATTATCCAAACCAGAGCATATGCTTCCAACACAGGACTTGGTGCCGTATTATTTCAAGTTCAGGATGATGGACAGCGCCGTCCAGTGTGTTACGCGTCACGCGTCTCAGTGACACAGAGAAACGTTGTGCCGTAATTGAAAAAGAAGCCCTTGCGACAACGTGGGCTAGTGAGAGGTTCTCTGATTACGTGCTCGGCATCCCTTTCACCCTAGAAACGATCACAAACCGCTTACTGTACTCCTGAATTCATCGGAGCTCTCAAAGCTGCCCCCTGTATCCGTCGTTTCCGCCTGAGACTTATGAGATACAACTATCGAGTTCAATATGTACCAGGAAAACATCAAGTCACCGCACGTACACTCTCACGTGCTCCTGTCGCCCTACCAGGGCTAGAAGATAAGCTACTTGTTGAGGAGCTAGAGGCCTTCTCAACTCGGACAACTTCCTGTCTCCCTGCCACGCCAAACCGACAACAGCAGATAAGAGATGCACAGAAGACAGACGAAGAATGCTCCCTCTTAAGATCGTATTGCCTTCAAGGATGATCCCCTTCTGGGAAAACAGAAGCCACCTCACGATTGTTGATGACCTACTCCTGTATGATGATCGTATACTAATTCCAAGGAGTATGCGACTACAAATCCTCAACTGCATTCATACTGTTCACTTAGGTCTGACTAAGTGTAGATCCAGGGCATGTACTTCCGTATGGTGGCCAGGACTCTCCACACAAATCGGTGAGTTGATCACCCGATGCCACACATGTGCCAAGGAACAACCAACGCCCAGAGAACCACTTATGTCTTCGTCCTTCCCAGCCCGCCCCTGGGAGAGAGTTGCAAAAGACCTGTATGATTTTCAAGGAAGAAAATACATCATCGTGGTTGACTATTACTCAAGGTGGTTTGACATCAAGGAACTCTCCAAGGAGACTTCACATTCAGTCATAAAAGCCCTCAAGGAGGCTGTCGCCACACATGGCATTCCAGGTGTCATAATGTCAGACAACGGGCCACAGTATAGTGCAGAGGCCTTTCGACAGTTTGCAGCAGCATACCATTTCACACATGTTACTAGTTTACCCAAATTGCCCCAGGCGAACGGCGAACTCGAAAGAGCCATTCGCACAGCAAAGTCCATGCTGGGAAAAAACGAAGACATCTTCAGCGCCCTCTTAACTTACAGGTCAACTCCTCTACAGAATGGCTACTCACCCAGTGAACTACTGATGGGACGCCGTCTGCAAACGCAGCTACCAACTCATCCAGCCAACTTGTACCCTAATGTGCCGATAAAAGACCGCCAGTTGGTAGAAGAAAAGGAAAGCTCGTATCGGTTGAACCAACAGCGCAACTTTGACAAGCGTCATAAAGCAAAGGAACTGCCAACACTTGGATAAGAGATCAAGTTCGGTAACTGAGAAACCCCATACTGTGTGTACCTCAGTGCTTCACATGAACATTGTGATTTGTCGTTATAATTCCTCTTGTTGTTCGTTTGATGTATTTTCATAGCTTATCCTTTAGGGGGTGGGGGGGTGTAGGATTAAGCTTGCAGTGCATGCTGGGTTTGAGGTCGGTCATCTTGAATAAACCTCGTGCTAGCCTGTGTTTATTCGAAGTCTCCTTCCTTCTTCGCCTGATAGTACATAAACTAATTAGCCGCATAAACTACGCTCGACTTCGTTAAATTACACATAAAAAACAAACATCAAATACAATAATTACTCAGGCTTACCATTCAAGATGCAGTTTCTGGAAGCTATCAAGTAAGGTTAGAAACGCTTCAGACTTTTCAGCCCACTTACTCATCAAGCAAGGCGAAAAACGAAAACGATGCCATCCGAAATCGGGTTTCCGAGTTTGACAAGGGAAGTATTTCTAATCCAAAAACCCAATAAACAAACTATAACAGAAGACTCTTGATCAGCTGAATTTCATTTTGTATATCCAGTAGAAAAAGACAGTTAAAAATGTCACAAGTTGACACAAAACTTTGTCAGCTTCAGCTGTCAAAGTAAACAGTTTCAAGATGCTGCATAAATTTTCCGCATGAACTCACCTGTCAAATTTTAACCAATCAGAGCATAAAAATTGGACGTAGAGCGTGACCAACGCGTGACCATGGTGAGAAACGTCAAAAGCAACTGTCTTCCCTGCCTATAATGGCTGACTGAATTTTCGCGTCCGAGGTCTGTTTGAAATCAAAATTTTAACTGTGCGGCACATAAACACAACATATTTCATGAATTTTTAAAAAAAATAAACTTGAGCCCGCGATCATTTGAAAACTAGTAACTTGTCGCGGATGACTTCCAAAAAATACTCGACTTCGATGGGTGGACACCTGAATCCGCGATACGGTGAGGTGATGCTGGTTAGCGGATACCCTGTTTTGGCAGCTGTTAATTGACCACAACGTTGATGTGCAATATGTGTGCAATATCAGTTTTCCTGTGCTCCCAAACTAGCTAGAAAGTGTGAGATTGAACATTGGTTCCCCTGTGGTGCGGACGGATGGTCGGGCGTACGGTCACCTGATTACTGAAATTTCTCGGATGGGTAGATTACCAAATTTTCTTACCCATGGTGCGCCGCTTCGCGCGCGTGGAGTTCCGCTATAAAGCAGCCGGCAAAGATACTATATCTCGGTGCATAAAACCACCTTAGAACTTGCTGGAATTGGTTTAAGTCGCTTTAAACCTCATAGTATCAGGTCTGCGTCAGCCAGTGCAGCTGCAGGTTTCTGTTGACACTATTCTTCGAACAGCGGGTTGTTCAGGACATTGCACTTTGCAAAGTATTACAAGAAACCAATTCAACAATGCAACATGGAGAATTGGCAGAAGTTCTGTTGGACAGTACACGGCAAGTGTAAACTATTTGTCACTCTCTGTCAGTGAAACTTGAGCCAGTGAAGAAATAAAAGGTTGTGTTACCTGACATATTGGATATTTGTTATCTTTGCGCTCACAAATACTGGCTCTAAACTTCTCATGGGATCCATACACTGAATGATGACGAAATAGAACTGAAAATTAAACGAAACTTACCTGAGTTAAAGAGTTTAAGTTTAAGTTTAATAATAATTTGTCATGCTAATACAAGTAAATGAATTACAAAAAATACAAAAAGTGCAGACTGCATTTTTTAATCAAACATGCAACTGTTACTATGACAACTGCAGAGCCCGGGCCTCTTTACGGACGCATGGCTTTATTTATGCACGGTATTTCCTTCAGGTAAATTTACATTCAAGTATAGAAAACTAAGTACCTGACTAATCTAGAATCTAAGATAAAGACTAAACTAA